TGGAAAAACATCCCATATTTGTGAAATGGATACCTGATATTGTTAAGATGGCAATACTCCCCAAATTGGTCTATAAATTCAGTGAAATTCCTATCAAAATTCCAACCACTGGGGCACCTGGCTGGCTCAGTTGGAAGAGAATGCAAATCTTGATCTCAGGGTTGTGAGTTCAAGTCCCACACTGGGTGTAGAGATTACTTAAACAAATAAATAAATAAATAATAGATAGATAGATGATAGATAGATAGATAGATAGATGATAGACAGAGGCACCCAGGTTGCTCTGTTGGTTAAGCATCCAATTTCTGCTTAGGTCACGATCTCATGGTTTCTGGGTTTGAGCCCCGCATCAGGCTCTCTGCTGTCAGCTGTTAGCACAGAGGCCACTTCAGATCTTGTGCCTCCCTCTCTCTCTGCCCCTCTCCTGCTCTCTCTCTCTCTCTCAAAAATGAAAAAAAATTTTTTAATAATAAATTAATTAATAAATCAATTACATTATAGAAATTCCAACCACCATTTTTGTTGAACTGGTCAATTGGATCCTAAAATTCATATGGAATTGCAAGAGACCTTGAAAAGCCAAACCAATCTTGAAAAAGAACAAAGTCACAAGACTCACAATTCTCAAAACTTTCTACAAAGCCACAGTAATTAAAAGAGTATGGTACTGGGGCACCTGAGTGGCCCAGTTAAGTGTCTTACTCTTAGTTTTGTCTCAGGTCTTGACCTCGTGGTTCGTGAGTTCAAGCCCTGAATCAGGCTCTTCACTGACCGTGTAGAGCTTGTTTGGGATTCTCTCTCTCTTTCTCTCTCTACCCCTCCCCTACTTGCATGTGCTCTCTCTCTCAAAATAAATAAACTTAAAAAAAAAAAAAAAAGAGGGAGAGAGTGTACGGTATTGACATAAGGACAGACATATAGATCAATAAAATAGAATTTAATTTCCAGAAATAAACCTATTCATGTATAGTCAATTGATTTTTTTTTTAAGTTTTTATATATTTATTTCAAGAGAGAGAGCATGGTTGTACGAGGGCAAGTGGAGGAGGGGCAGAGAGAGAGGGAGAGAGGGAGAGATAGAATCCTAAGCAGATTCTGTGGGCAGGGCTTGAACTCAGGAACCATGAGATCATGACCTGAGCTGAAATCAATCCCTATTTTATTTTTTTAAGGTTTATTTATTTATTTTGAGGGAGAGAGAGAGTGGGAGCAAGCATGGGGGAGGGGCAGAGAGAGAGAAATAGAGTGAATCCCAAGCCAGCTCCATGCTAACAGCACAGAGCCTGACATGGGGATCTATCCCACAAACCGTGACATCAGGACCTGAACTGAAATCAAGAGTCAGACACTTAACCAATTGAGCCACCCAAGCACCCCTATTATTTTATTTTTAAATATTTTATTTTGGGGCACCTGGGTTGGTTAAGTGTCTGACTTCGGCTCAGGTCACAGTCTCGAGGTTTGTGAGTTCAAGTCCTATGGCAGGCTCTTCGCTGATAGCTCAGGGCCTGGCGCCTGCTTTGGAGTCTCTGTCTCCCTGTCAGCACAGAGGCTCCACACTGTCAGCACAGAGGGAAGCAGAGCTTGAGCCCATGAACCATGAGATCATGACCTGAGATGAAATCAAGAGTCAGACACTCAACCCGCTGAGCCACTCAGGCACCCCCTAAATATTTTATTTTTAAGCCATCTCTGCACCCAGTGTGTGGCTCAAACTCACAACCCCAAAATCAAGAGTCCCATAATCTACCGACTGAGTCAGCCAGGCCCCTTTTATTATTATTGTTATTTTAATTTTTAATTTTTTTTTAGGAATCTGTATGCCCAAAGTGGGGCTCAAACTCATGACCCCAATTTCAAGCATTGCATGAATCACCAACTAAGCCAACTGGACACCTTGTAGGTAACTACAGTACAATATGAACTAGGTATGTTACACAGGGAGGAACCTGGCAAGGCCGTTTTTTGTTTTTTTGTTGTTTTTTTCTGGTAAGGCCTTTTTGATCTCTATGTCCCATTGTTTCTGGATGGCCCAGCAAACATTTATCAAAATTTACTTTTTATATTCTTCCTATGAATTACCTTCCTTCCCTTTCAAGCCTCAGACCACTACCTCCTTCTCCTTAGTCCAGGATGACATATATACCTCATTTTGCTTGACTGTCTTTTGGAATCTCTCATATTTATGTGGATGTTCCACATGTATGTAATTAAATTTGACTTTTCTTCTGTTAATTTGTCTCATCTCAATTTAATTCTTTGATCAGCCAGAATAATCTTGAAGTGTAGCATAAAAATCTTCCTCCCCAACAGAAGTAACAAAAGAAAAAAATAGATAAGTTTGGCTTCAAGTTGTACACAGAACTAGAACTCTTAGCACTCAGGCAAAAAGACTAACAACTACATTTAAAATTGAGCAAAGGTAATGGTTGCATAACACTGTAAATGTACTTAATGCCCCTGAATTGTACACTTCTCAAAATGATTAAAATGATAAATTTTATGTTGCATATTTTATACTGCAAAAAAAAAATTACCAAGGGAGTGTAAGGGGAACCAAAGGATACGAACAGACATTTCTGAAAGCAAGATATACAAATGGCCAATAAGAGGGGTGCCTGGGTGGCTCAGTCAGCTGAATGTCTAACTTCAGCTCAGGTCATGATCTCATGGTTCATGAGTTCGAGTCCCACATTAGGCTTCCTGCTATCAGCCTGTCAGTGCAGAGCAGCCTGCTTGGGATCCTCAGTCTCTCTCTCTGCCGCTCACCCACTCACTCTGTCAAAAAACCCCAAAAAACAAATGGCCAATAAGATAACATTGTTAGTCATTGGGGATACCCATTAAATCCATTTCATACACAGGGATAGCTATAATGAACAACTTTTACTTATTTACCTATTTATTTTTAGTATACATACATATTAAAAAAAATTTTTTTTTAACGTTTATTTACTTCTGAGAGAGAGACAGAGACAGAGACAGAGCATGAGCAGGGAAGGGGCAGACACAGACAGAGACACAGAATTTGAAGCAGGCTCCAGGCTCTGAACCGTCAGCACAAAGCCTGATGTGGAACTTGAACTCAGGAGCCATGAGATCATGGCCTGAGCTGAAGTCAGATGCTTAATTGAGCCACCCAGGTATCACAGCTGTAACAACTTTTTATTAAAAAATTTTTTGTAATGTTTATTTATTTTTGACAGAGAGAGAGACAGAGCATGAGCAGGGGAGGGGCAGAGAGAGAGGGAGACACAGAATCCAAAGCAGGCTCCAGGCTGTCAGCACAGAGCCCAATGGGGGGCTCAAACTCACAGACCGCAAGATCATGACCTGAGCCAAAGTCAGACGCTCAACCGAGTGAGCCACCCAGGCGCTCCTGTAACAACTTTTTAAAAAGAAAGTAAGGGTTGAGGAGGTTGTAGTAATGTAAATTAGTGTAGACACTGTGAAAACGGTTTGGCAATTTCTCAAAATTTAAGTATGGAATTGCCATGTGATGTAGAATTCTCCTAAACACATACCTAAATAAATTGAAAACAAGAGTTCAAACAAAAACTTGAGTATTCACAGCAGAATTATTATAATAGCTAAAAGTGAATGAAGACAACCTAAATGACCAACTGACAAATAAACAAAATGTGACAATATCTGAAAGAAGGAGGAAGGGAAGAAAAAAACCAACAAAATATGGCAATGCCCATTTAAAAGAATAGTTTTAGCCAAAAAATGTAATGACGTACTGATACTTGCTACATGGAACCTTGGAAATCGCTGTGGAGAACAAAGGCAAAAGAAATATGAAAAAAAAATTAAACTTTGTAACTTACAGCCCATTACAGAGCGACCTTCCTTAAGGAGCTTAGCTGCCTAAATGTTAATACTTTGCTAGAGGCAAAAGGCAACCTCAGTTTAACTTTAGCCAACCTCCAGGATCCTGTAAAAATCCCCTTGGAAACTTCCTTGATCTCTATCCCCCAAGATATAGGTGAACAATCATCCTCCAAGCATATGGCCCACTGATACACATCTGAAGGGTCTCATGACTATTTCACTAGCTAGTAGTAAATAACCTTATCCTAACAACATCTAGCCCCTCAAAGTCCTGGAAACCTTGCTTCCAAATTCCTTAGAGACTTCTATCCTTAACAACCTCCCAACTTAAAAGCATATGTAAACAGCCACTCCTCACAACCCCAATACAGCCCTTTCTGCTCACGGGTCTTGTCCCGTGCTTTAATAAAACCACCCTTTTGGCATCAAAGATGTCTCAAGAATTTTCTTGACCTTTTGCTCCCAAACCCCAACATTTCACATTAGAAACAACAATAAAGTTGAAGAAGTCAATAAGAAAAGGACATGTATTATATACTCTTATTAATATTAAGGATCTAGGACAGGCAAATCCACAGAGACAAAGCAGATCAGCGGTTGTGAAAGGATGGTGGGAGCAAGGATTAAGGAGTGATTCCTTAATGGGTATGAGTTTAAGGGCGGACTTGATGGTTACAGAACCTTATGACTATATAAAGGCCACCGAATTGTGCAAAATATTTAAAAGAGTGAGTTATATGGTAAGTGAATTTTATCTCAATTAAAAAAAAAATAAGGAAGCTGACACAGGACATATTCATTCTTCCAAGTACTTGAATGAGAAAAAAAAAAAAAGGCGAAGAGCACAAAATGGCGGCAAGCCGATCGGATCACGTGACCGCCGATTCTTTCCTGCCCAGCCTAACAAGATTCTTTTCTTCAGAGCGGGCGCTGAGACTTCGCTGGCTCATTGTTATGGGAATCCCAGGTAACTCTTCTCAGGCGCGCTCTCGCTCTAGCTGCGTAGCGAAAGCGGTGAACGTATTGAAGGCGAGCTGGGGAGCGCGCACGCAGAACGCAAACCCGTCAGCGCCGTCCTCGGAGAGATGAGGAGGAGGGGAGAGGCGTGGAGGAAGAGGGGGAAGTTGGCGCATGCGCCCAAGGCTGACGGGTTTGAAATGGCCTCAGTGTTAGCCGGGACCCGATTCAGGTGAAGGTTTGGTCCTCGCGGTTGCAGCAGCGGGCGGCGGAACCGGGGCTCCTGTCGTCCTTTCGGATTCGCAGAAGGGCTGGGATCGACCGTTTGGGGATCACGGCGTCCGTAGGCCAGCGACGGTGGGGTTCTCGTGGGACTGGGGCGGGAGGGACACGGTCCCTTTTGTGCGGGTCGAAGCAGGCCCCGCGCGGCAGGCCCCTCCCCCACTGCTTCGTTTCCCCCCGCCTTCTCTCCCCCGGGGTTCTTCAGGTGCCCCCGGCGCCCCTCAGCCTTGGTCTGGCGGGTCGAGAGGGACTGCCGAGCGCCGTCCCTCGCTGCGAAGCCGTTGAGCTTTAGCCTCCCGGTCTCCGGCCCAGGGCGTCGGGCGGCTGGCGGCGGCGCGGGTTTTGGGGGATAGAGGCTCTCTGCCCGGCACGGTGGTTAAGGGGACCAGGACTTTCAATACCCAGTGTTGGCGCTTCGCCCAGTCTCGTGAGACGTAGGATTCTGCCTTCTCTGGTCAGCGTCCCGCAAGGAGCTGGGGCTGGAGGAAGATGGATGGCAGTGCTCTGGCCCCTCCGAGTCGCGGGGGGAAGGAGGGGGTGCGCGGGCTGAGATCTTCGCCTTTTCTGGCCTGATTTTGGGGGGGAGGGGTCTTGGCGATGGTTCTTTGGGGGGAGGGATCCGTTATTTCAACTGTCTTTCCCCCTCGAGGGAGGGGAAAGAAAAGGAGCCCCTCGGCCCTTTCCATCCCGAGAAAGTAAGGAGATGTTCGTTATTTAGAGGATAGTCTTAAATACCTTTATTCAGTGTCTCGTCCGAATTTCCGTTATTGGTTTTACCACTTTCAATCTCCACCTCATTGGCAAAAGAAACACGCAGGCTTTATTTTGTTTGAACCCGCAGCTGTGTAGTTCTTTTTGTTAAGACTTGGGTTGATAATAGCACATGGTCTTCGTTGAAATGTGAGTTTGTAGTCACAGAAAGAAGTGCCTTTCTTACTAGTCTACCCCTAATGTCCTATGTTGAATTTGGGTATTTTTGGTGAGATACTTGATGTAAAATGTTTTTGCTGCATATCGGACGTTGGTATACACCTTGCTATTTATACTATGATCTACGAAGGTGTCCTTGACAAACATTTCTTTAAAATATTTTCATGATGTTTATAGTTTCAAGTTTGAAATGTGGGTTCTTTCTTAATAGATCGCTGCTATAGAAGACAAACAAGCGAAGGCTTTTTCCTCCTTTCATCATGGCTCAGTTTGGAGGACAGAAGAATCCGCCATGGGCTACTCAGTTTACAGCCACTGCGGTATCTCAGCCAGGTCAGGCTACTGAACACAAGTACTGTAAACTTGGGGTTTGGGGGAGGACATGTTGTAACTATGTGAATTAAGCTATATGTAATACTGTAAAATGTTTCCAAATGATGTATCTTTTATTTGTGAAGCTTTTAAAATTCATGGATCAACTAGCAAAACATGTTTTACACTGCAGTTTGGACAGTTTTATATAGTTTTTCAAACATTAAATTATTCGGTTTAATTAGGTTAGCTACTTGATTGATTAGAGATTATCTTATTTGGCATGTTAAGGTGTCAATATTCACAAGTTATATTTAAAAATAAATGTATTAAAATTTTATATTTTATGAGAAATTATATACGACTGCTTTTCAGTTGTTTCAATTTAAAGTACAAAACCCAACTGAAGAATTTACCAAGCAAAGGAGAAAGATAAATAGATCTAAAAGGAGCCAATGAATGTTGACATTTTCTAAATATGGTCAACAAAAAAAAGTCACTGTAAATGTTTCATTGAGCTTCTTTGCTTATAGGAATATTTTTTTTTTTTTGGCACCATTTCTTGACTTCTTGTTTGAATCTTAAATAAATTCCCAAGGATTCTATGGAATGAATTTTAGTTTCTTTGAGTACTCAGAAAAGTTGCAGCTTATTCTGTTAATTTGAGTATATTTTTATTTATGACCTCTCTAATAGTGGTTCTTTGCCATGTTTTATGTACTTGAAATATTTTAGTAATTTGAGGTCACTTATAGAGACAGTATAATCTTCTGATTTGGGTGTTCTAAAATTCAATGGACATGATTATCTTGTTAGGTAGGTGGCCTTTTTCCTTAAAGAAATAGATACTTTAGAGTTTTTATTTTAGTTACTCTTTGTTTAGGAGGTTAAATGATCAGTTCTACAGGTAACTGAAGATATTATGAAATAGTAGTTATAGATTATATTTAATTCAGATCCAGGTATTTTGTTATGTTAAATAATGGGGACTTTGGTGTTCGTTTTGATGAAACGAATTCTTAGCAATTACTGTGTGTCCGGAAACAAGTACTAGGTACTTGTATGCTGGTAAACTAAACATGTTTTACCCAGCTTTTTCTGCATATAATTTGTTTTAAATTTGTATCTGTATTGTTCCAACAAAATAGCTGTTATGGTAAAAGTTACTTTCTATAGCTCTTAACATTTGTATTGTAATTACTTAAATATAGGTTATACTCTTTTTGTTTTTGTTTTCAGGCTGAGCCAAGGAGACAGCAAAGGCTTATAAAAAATGTCAAACAAAAAGTCAATCGTAAATTTGGGTCTCCTTTTCGATATTTAGCAATAGAGTCCAAACGTAAAGGGATTTGTGTAAATGGAGCTTGTATTTGTGCTGTAGGAAATTATGGGTTATCTTAGACCTGTTGTTAATCAGAGATTTTCAAAATCAAATTTTATTGACATATCATGATTTCAGTAAGTAGGCAAGTGTTTTGTTAGCATGTATCTACTCTTAGCTTTCGTGTAAAAATCCTGGAGTAGGCTCTAAATGGAACGCTTTAGCGATACTGTTTTTATTGAAATGTATAATTTCCAGGTGCTGTATATCAGGCTGCTTCCTTATAGCTTGCTGTTTTCTTGCCTTCATCTTAAAAGTCTTATTTGCGATTAATCAGTATCTCATCTTATTGGATCTGATTTTTAGAACCATTCAAATTTTTGTAAAAGTTACATTTTCAATCCTCAGGCAATTGGAATGGCTTACTTACATCTCATCTCAATGGAGAACATTTATTTTTTTTTTAAGATGAATTTTTTGGGATGCCTGGATGACTCAGTTGGTTAAGCTTCTGACTCTTGATCTCAGCCCCACGTTGGGTCTGCACTGGGCATGAAGCCTACTTAAAAAAAAGATTTTATTTTTAAGTAATCTCCACACTTAACATGGGGTTTGAACTCTCACAACCCTGAGATCAAGAATCAGATGCTCCAGGGGTGCCTGGGTGGCTCAGTTGGTTGAGCGTCTGACCGGCTCAGGTCATGATCTCACGGCTTGTGGGTTCGAGCCCCGTGTTGGGCTTTGTGCTGACAGCTCAGAGCCTGGAGCCTGTTTCAGATTCTGTGTCTCCCCCTCTCTCTGCCCCTCCATTGCTTGCGCTCTGTCTCTGTTTCAAAAGTAAATAAACATTTAAAAAAAAAATGAATTAGATGCTCTGCTAATGAGCCAGCCCGGTGCCCCTCAATGGAGAACATTCTAACCTAATTACAGTGCTTTAAGTTTTGTCTTGGCAGCTTCAAATACAATTTGAGAAAAAAATTTCAACAAAGGACATATAAGGACTTAAGGCAATAGTGTAGGTGTCACTTTTTACTCTATTGAAAAAACAAAATACACATAGTAGTATCAGAGGCCACTGTCATAAATTAGATGATCATGGAACAGAAAAAGGTTAACTGAATAATTCAACTTGAATTAAATATTTTATTTTTGTGCTTATATTTCTGACTCATTTTTTGTCTTTTTTTTTCACATTTATTTATTTTTGAGAGACAGAGCACAAATGGTGGAAGGGCAGAGAGAGAGGGAGACACAGAATCCGAAGCAGGCTCCAGGCTCTGAGGTGTCAGCACAGAGCCTGATGTGGGGCTCGAACCCACAAACTGCTAGATCATGCCCTGAGCTGAAGTCGGGCACTTAACTGACTGAGCCACCCAGGTGCTCCCTGACTCATTTTCTTTTGAGAGCAATATGAAAATTAGTACACTTGGGGCACCTGGGTGCCTCAGTTGGTTAATCTTTCAGCTCTTTATTTCGGCTCAGGTCATGATCTCACTGTTCCTGGGTTCCAGCCCTGTTTGGGATTGTCTCCCTCTCTCTGCCTCCCCTGCATTTGGCATGCATCCTCTCCCCCTCTCTCTCCAAATAAATAGCTTTAAAAAATTGCTACTCTTCTGTTATATAACTTAACCTATAACTTCAGTTAAAGACTATGCTATTCCATTTTCTAGGATATTTTTAGCATTTTTACTAACTTTGAAAATTCTCATCTAACAGTGATAGGAAAATTTCATTACATTCATGCAGATGACTTAAGTAAAACTTAAGTAAAAGCATGCATAATTGTGTTGTATTGTTGAAATCTGTTGTAAAAGTGAAGATGAGTATTTGAACTGTTTCTGATCAGTTTTTTTTTAATTTTTTTTTTACATTTATTTATTTTTGAGAGACAGAGCACAAGTGGGGGAGGGGCAGAGAGGGAAGGAGACACAGAATCCAAAAGCAAGCTCCAGGCTTTGAGCTGTCAGCACACAGCCTGACTAGGGGCTCGAACTCAGAAACCGTGAGATCATGCTCTGAGCTGAAGTCAGACGCTTAACCAACTGAGCCACCCAGACACTCCTGATTAGTTTTAATACTGAGCATATTCAGGGGCGCCTGGGTGGCTTGGTCGGGTAAATATCCGACTTCAATTCAGGTCATGATCTTGCGGTTTGTGAGTTCAAGCCCCACATCGGGCTCTGTGCTGACAGCTCAGAGCCTGGAGCCTGCTTCAGATTCTGTGTCTCCCTCACTCTCTGCTCCTCCCCCCACTCATGCTCTGTCTCTCTCTCTCTGTCAAAAATAAATAAACATTAAAAAGAACCTTGCATATTCACTTAAAATGTTACTAATTCCTAGGTGTCATCATCTGTCATCTTTGATTTTCTTTACCCCCCATATTCAATCAAATATCAAATCATGACTTTTTTCCCCTTTGAAAATGCCTCAGGTATACTCTTATTTTACATTTAGGCCCTGGGCACTTCACGTTTGAATAACTGCCACCAAGCAGCTTTCTCTTGCTTACAGTTCATATACCAGAGTCTCTCACCTAACTTTCAGGACTTTCCATACTTTTCTCAAACCCAATCCAGGATGCTTACCATAGATCTTTAAGTCAAAGGTTCTTTTTAAAAATATTTTTTAACGTTTATTTATTATTCAGAGAGAAATACAGAGCATGAGCATGGGAGGGGCAGAGAGAGGGGGAAACACAGAATCCGAAGCAGGCTTCAGGCTCTGAGCTGTCAGCACAGAGCCCGGCATGGGTCTCGAATCCACAAACCACAAGATCGTGACCTGGGCCAAAGTTGGATGCTTAACTGACTGAGCCACCCAGGCGCCTCCAGTGAAAAAGTTCTTTTTCCCATCTGTTACTTGGTGGCATTGTTCTTTATTATTCTTTAGTTCTAATTGTTTTTATTTGCTTTTTTCTTTTATTTACTGGATAGGCTACTTGTTATTTCTCTCTCTGCTCCAATGTGTGTGTCAGATGTCATATTCCTAAAGCATAATTTCTGTCTAAGTCACAGAATTTTTCAAACCTGGATAAAACCTGAGCTAGATTCTGTCTCAACTCCTTTCTCTAACAGATAAGGAATTTGAGGCCCAGAAAGATGAAGAAATTTGTTTAGGTCTTATAGAACATCACAAGAGAGTCCATGTTAGCACATCAGAATTGTGGTTCATTATATCTTCCATTTTTCTCTTATCTGCAAAAGTATCTTCAAGTACTTTTAGAATTTATTTCAAACTTCTTGGGATGGTATTCAAGACTGTCTTTCCAGTCCAAATCTCATTTCTTCCACACTGAAATAATTGTGTGTGCACACGCGCGCGTGGGTGTGTGTGTCTGTTTGAAGAGTATTTGAGAGAGGAGCATGAGCGCACAAATGGGGGAGGGGCAGAGAGAGAGAGGGAGCCCAAGCAGGCTCCACACTGTCAGCCTGGAGCCCCAGTACAGGGCTTGAACTCAGAAACCTTGAGATCATGACCTGAAGTGAAACCAAGAGTTGGATGCTGAACTGAGGGAGCCATCCAGGCCCCCCGAAATAATTGTTCTTAATATTTTCCTTTTTTTTTTTTTTTTTTCCATTTTCTAACTGAAGTGCTATGGTATGTATTCAGTGACATTCTTTATTTGGTTCCAGAACTTTTATGTTTCAAAGTTTTAACAGTTTTCTGTGTATAAAGAGACATTGATAGAGATTGCTGGCCA